TTTTTAAAAGATCTGAGTTAGTTTCAAGACTTCCATTTCAACAATATTCTAGGTTTCGTCAAGGCTTGAAGATAGTTTTGAAGTTGGAATCAAGATGGACTCTGAGATTTTATATGGTAGCACAATTAGTCGATGAGCATAAGTGAATCCGGTATAAACTTACTTAAACACCAGAGCACGTTGGTTACTAATCTGAGAGGTACTGATTAGAAATTTTAAATGATCCTTATATTTGAATTAGCAATTTTGTAGGTTTTTTAATAACCCTATATTGAAGTAGCGTCTTTTCTAGGAATAACTGAGATTGAGGACACTTGTTAATAAATTTTAGTTATATGATATAAATTAATTTTTTGTTGAATCATATTTGATGTAAGTAATAACGTATACTATACTATTAAAAGAAATCAATTTGAAAAAACTGTCTACTAAAAAAAAATAATAAAATATAATATAGAAAATATTTTATTCTCAAATTACTTAAGTGTATTTGGTATATTGCGATATTTGAATATATAGATTAAAAAAATATCGGATAAATAAATATAAATCCAAATTAATGCAAAATTTTAATGAAAATTAAAAATAAATAATAATTAATTTATAACAAATAATTTTTGCTTTTTTTTGTTTGCTGCTTTAGATATCTTACTTAAACACTTAAATTAATTTAATCAAGTATAAATAAAAAATATTTATTTTTAATATTTTTTACTTATTTGTTGATTATATTAACCGATAACGAATTTAGTAAAAAGAGCTTAATAACTAATAAAAATAATAAAATATATACAAACAACTAAATGTAAAGATATATCCGTATAAGTAGCACGTGTATAACTTTAGCGCCTACTTCATATAATTAATTAAATGGTTTTTTGCAATTTAAGTAAACAGAGAATATAAATTTATATATTTAGGAACAAATATTTTGTTTATATCAATTTAAAAAAAAATCAAAAATGTATATTAGGTGGGAGCTAAATTATTATTGTTAGATAAATAAAATCAATTTATCTTCAAAAAAATATAGCATATACTTATAAAAAGTGTTAAGTATATTTATAAGGAATATTTTGAAAAATTTATTATCTTTCCGATTTATTTCAACAATAAATATAAAAACTTTATTTCATTAAATTTTTACTTAAAATCTAATGTATATTATTTTAGATGTAAAAATATTTAAACAAGAAACAACATTGCAAGTATAGTAAAATAGCTTTTACATATTTCCATCCCATTTCTCAGGCATACCTAGTTCACTACCGCACTTGGGGTTGTCATCCATGCCACAGGGATAAAAGTGTGGCCAGTTCTTTATATAACGATAAACATTTGCACCTGGACTCTTGCTTAATTTTGTCTGCAAAAAAGTAGAGATATAAATTTAAAATAAAGGTTAATAAATCACACAGACAAGATTATACCTGATTTTGTGCCACTAATTTATAAGCCAAGTCAATGTATTGACTTGTTTTTGCATGAGCCAATAGAAATTGTGTGGCTTCCAATTGCTTATCACTTGGTATGTAGCGACCATAGTCACCCATAAACGTCACAGCCAAGGTATCATTTGCATAAGTATTGGCGTAATCCCAGCCACGTCCCACATAAATATTGCCATCGTCACCGACCTTATATGGAAAAACATTACAATTCATTAATGCTGAATAAAAAAGTACGTGATCAAATGGCAATTAAGTTGACTCACATAAAAGTTTGCCTGTATATCTGGTAAATTCTTTTCAGCAATTGCTGAATCTTGTATAGTGCGCATTTTAATGGAGCATTTATATATATTTAAACAAGGTACTGACTGTACACCGATGTGTGTTATGAGTACATATGGTATGGGATGTTTCAACGGTATCGTTAGTTTTTTAGCCAATTCTGAAGCACCCCATTGTATACGATCAACTATTAGATGTCCATTTCCTAAATTCGGAACTAAGATACTTAAAAATAATAATAAAATCAAATGGTTGATAGATTAAAATGTAACGATGTTAATAAAATAAAAAAGCGAATCGTATTTCATGAG